TGCTCCAGATTTCGTAATACAGGGAGGGGGGTCTCATTTCGGGGGGGGGGTCTCTTCCAGGCCATCTTGGAGGGCCTGGGGGGGCCTGGGGACGATGTTTTGGAGGGTTCTCCCACGGGGAAGGTCTGAAATGTCTTGTCTTGGAGGGTCCAGACCCCCTCCCTTTTATTACGAAATCTGGAGTACGGGTCATCAGGGAAGCGGGTCCTGGACCACGAGCTCCTCTCCATCCGCAGCATGGGGGCAACGGGTCCTGGGGGAAACGGGTCCTGGGCTCTGGGGCCTTCCCCCCGGACGAGCTCCTCATCCTGAGCCGTTTCCTGACAGTCCTGGGGTCCGTGGGCAAAAAACCTCAGGACCCGTTTCCCTCAGGACCCGCTTTCCCATGCGAAATCCCCCTAGCGACAAGCTCTTCATGCTGGGTCGTTGCCTGCTGGCCCCAGGGTTGCCCAGGGAAGCCCGAAGACGGCGAAAAAGCTCCAGTGTCCGCTTCCTCAGCGCACGGTTGCCACACATCCGATGTCTTGAACTTTTCGATACGGGGGCCCCGAAAGTCCCAACACGTTCCCCGGGGCAGGTTTTTCGTCCCGACTCGTCGTTGGACCGCCCCAGGGCCCGGGCGAGGGCCCCGCGAGATCGAAAACGGCCGAAAACCTTCCGTCGTGATGCTTGTCGCGGCGCGAGCACGTCTGGATTCCTTCCCATGGTGAGCGCAGCTGCTTGCGCTGCCCTCCCCCCCCCCTGGGTTCCGAGACAACCCAGCTGGCGGAAAAACGGCACGGCGCAAGGGTTTTCGCCGCTGGCCAGCCGCGATGCGGTGACCTCTCTCCCGTGGCAGCGCCCGCTGGCCGCGAAGGGTGCCCTACAGCTGGAGGCCCTCCTCCGGGTGGGCGAACGAGAACCCCTCCTCGGGATTGGGGGGAAAAACACGCCGCGTCATCGGCCTCCTCAGCCCTCCCCTTCCTCCTCCTCCTCCTCCTCCTCCTCCTCCTCCTCCTCCTCCTCCTACTCCTCCTCCTCCTCCTCCTCCTCCTCCCCCCTCTCTCCTCCTCCTCCTCCTCTCCTCTCCTCCTCCTCCTCCTCCTCCTCCTCCTCATCCTCCTCCTCCTCCTCCTCCTCCTCCTCCTCCTCCTCCTCCTCCTCCTCCTCCTCCTCATCCTCATCTCATCCTCATCCTCATCATCATCATCATCATCATCATCATCATCATCATCATCATCCATCATCATCATCACACCATCATCATCATCTCATCATCATCTCATCATCAGCATCAGCATCAGCATCAGCATCAGCATCAGCATCAGACATCATCATCACCATCAACCACTCACCATCCCATATCACATCATCATCATCAGCTCATCATCATCATCATCACATCATCATCATCATCATCATCATCATCATCATCATCATCATCATCAGCATCATCATCTCATCATCATCAGTCATCATCATCATCATCATCATCATCATCATCCTCATCATCATCATCACATCATCAGGCATCAGCTCAGCATCAGCATCAGCATCAGCATCACCATCCCATCACCACACATCATCATCATCATCATCATCATCATAATCATAATCATCATCATCATCATCATAATCATCATCATCATCATCATCATCAGCATCATCATCATCAGCATCATCATCAGCATCATCATCAGCATCATCAACATCATCGTAATCATCATCATCATCATCATCGTCATCATCATCATGAGAAGCATCATCAGCAGCATCACCATCATCATCACCATCAGCATCAGCATCATCATCATCAGCATCAGCATCATCATCATGATCATCATCATCATCATCAACATCATCATCAGCATCAGCATCATCAGCATCATCGTCATCATCATCATTACCATCATCACCATCGTCATCATCATCAGCAGCTGCATCAGCAGCATCAGTATCAACAACATCATCATCATCCGAATCCGAATCAAAGTCAGAATCATCAGCATCATTATGATCGTCAGGATCATCATCACCATCAGCATCAGCATAACCATCATTATCACTATCCGCATCATCATCAGCAGCAGCATCATCAGCATCATCAGCATCACCATCATCATCAGCATCATAATCATCAGCATCATCAGCATCATCACCATCACGGTCAGCATCACCGCCATCACCATCATCATCATCAGCATCACCATCATCACCAATCCCGTCACCCTCATCATCAGCAGCACCGCCATCAGCTTCGTCATCATTATCATCACCAGAATCGACATGTCCAGCATCAGTATCACCATCATCAGCATCATCAGCAGCATTATCATCACCACCAGCAACAGCATCATCGGCATCAGCACCATCATCACCATCACCAGCATCACCATCACCACTACCATCACCACTACCATCACCTTCCCTCCCTCTTCCTCTTCCTCCTCTTCCTCCTTCTCCTCCTCGAGGAGCCTGGAGCCGGGCGGTCTGTGAACCCCGCGGACGCGACCATGGCCCCTCCGCGCGGCACCGAATGGTGCGCCAGGAAAGGCCATTCCGAAAATGGTCCGATCACCATTGGTGGGGCCGGCGAGGGACGAGGAGGGAAAGACGGACGGGGGGCTCGAAAGAAGAGGGCGAAGGGAGCACGAACGGACGGGCCGAGCGCAGGAGGGAAGGTAACGAAGAGAGAGACCTGCAGGACGGCTGTGGCCCGAGAGCCGCTCCGTCGACGCGCGCGCGCGCGTGCCACACCGCGCGCACGCGCGACCGCGCGACCACGCGCGTGTGCACCCAACCCCTCGTCCTCGCCTCGGGGTGCCGTGAGCCGCGGGGCCCAAGGGCGAGGGCGGATGGGCAGGGTGCAGGTGGCAGTCATGATGCTGCTGGTTGCGGCGGCGTTCGTGGCGTCGCGGTGATGGTGCTGGTCGCAGTCGTGGCATCGTGATGCTGCTTGCGGTCGCAGTCGAGGTCGTGGTGCTGCTGGTCGGGAGCGCGGCGTACGTTGAGGCGTTGCTGGTCGCAGTCCTTGTGGTGCTGCTGGTCTAGCAGCACTCGTCGCGCTGCTGCTGGACGCCGTTGTAGTGCACGTGGTCGCTGGGAAGGACGTCGGGTGGGGCACGGAATAGGGCGTCGTGGTGGTGATGATGACGATCGCATTCGTGGTGATAGTGGTGCTGATGGTCGCAGTCGCGGTGCGGGTCGCGATTCTGCTGGTCGCGGTCGAGGTGGCGCTGCTGGTCGTGGTGGTGGTTTGGCTGGTGGTCGCAGTCGTGGTGCTCGTGGTGGTGCTGGTGGTGCTGGTCGAGGTCTTGGCGGTGGTGCTAATGATCACCGTCATGGAGTGCGTCGTGGTGTTGCTGGCCCTCCTCCTCCTCCTCCTCCTCCTCCTCCTCCTCCTCCTCCTCCTCCTCCTCCTCCTCCTCTTCCTCCTGTTTCCTCCTCCTCCTCCTCCTCCTCCTCCTCCTCCTCCTCCTCCTCCTCCTCCTCCTCGTCGTCTTCCTCCTCCTCCTCTTCTCTCCCATCCTCCTCCTCCTCCCCTCCTCCTCCTCCTCCCTCCCTCCCATTCTGCTCCTCCTCCGCCTCCTCCTCCTCCTCCTCCTCCTCCTCCTCCTCCTCCTCCTCCTCATCATCCTCATCATCATCATCTCTCATCATCATCATCATCATCATCATCATCATCATCATCATCATCATCATCATCATCATCATCATCATCATCATCATCATCTCATCATCATCATCATCATCATCATCCATCATCATCATCATCATCCTCATCTCATCATCACCTCATCATCATCATCATCATCATCATCAAGCATCATCATCCGTCGCTGTATCATCATCCATGCATCATCATCATCCTCAACATCCAACATCATCCTCTCATCATCTCATCATCATCCATCATCATCATCAAGTCATCTCATCATCATCATCATCATCATCATCATCGTCCGTCGTCGTCGTCATCATCATCATCAGCAGCAGCAGCATCATCATCATCATCATCAAAATCATCCCCCCAACAAAAAACCCCCCCATCATCGTCATCATCGTCATCATCGTCAGCATCATCCATCATCATCATCATCATCATCATCATCATCATTATCATCATCATCAATCATCACCATCATCAGCAGTCATCATCATCAGCAGCAGCAGCATCATCATCATCATCATCATCCATCATCATCAGCATCAGCAGCAGCAGCATCAGCAGCAGCAGCATCAGCATCATCATCATCATCAGCATCATCAGCATCATCATCATCAGCATCAGCATCATCAGCATCATCATCATCATCATCATCATCATCATCATCATCATCATCATCATCATCATCATCATCATCATCTTTATCATCATCATCATCATCAGCATCAGCATCAGCATCAGCATCAGCATCATCATCATCATCATCATCATCATCGTCATCATCATCATCCCGTCGCAATTTGGGCTAAAGATGCTTTGTTCCACGGGGGAACACGTGGACACCGCTAGTCCGCGGCCAGTCTTTATCCTTTCCCGTGGTCAGCCCCAGGGCGAGCGTCGAGATGGTCCGCCCCGCATTGGTGCGTCTCTCCCAGCCCAAGCATGGTGCCGCAGCCGCCAGCGGCCACCGTGCTCCGCGGCCCGCGCAAGCCCCACTGGAGCTGTGGGCTAAGCGGTCGCACGGAGAACCGGGCTTCCCGCATCCAGTGCCTTTGCGGCCGCCAAGCTCTGTCCCTCATCGTCCCCCGCGCGCACCGGAAGCACAAGGAGGCCGCAGGAGCGGACGGAGGAGGCCTTCGTGCAGCGCCCAAGAAGCCAGCGGGGAGAGAAGCTGGCATCCCGAAAGAGATGTCCGCCTGGATGCAGGCAATCGAGCAGCGCCTGGCGCCGCCCGATGCCGCGTGGCCCAAGCCTCGGGGGAAGCCGCCCCCATGGCAGTCTGGCGATGATGCCGGTCCTTGTGCAGGTGGGAGCGACTCACAGAAGTTGCAGAGCACCAAGATCGGCGAGCGTATCAGCGAACTGGAGGACACCCTCAAGAAGCCCCCTGCAGCTGACGAGCGCAACAAGGACCTCCGAGGTCCTATCGAGAAGCAGTTGGAGGAGCTGCGCGCAGAGAGGCGCGCGCTGCTGCCCCCCAGGTCCTGCACCGTCGTGCGCAGCAGGATCCGCAGCGCGCGAGGCCCAGCCTGGAAAAGATAGAGAAGGAACTGCTCGAGAAGCAAGACCAGCTCACGCAGCTGGCGAAGGGCATCGAGAACCGCAAGGAGGGGATCGAGGCGAAGAAGCTGGAGATCGTTGCGCCGGACACGGCGTCCAGCGAGTCCGCAGGAAGCGCCACGGGTGACCCAGTCAGCGTCGGCGCGCTGGACGCCCTCCACATGAACGAGGCCGATGTCGCTGACCAGCCCGAGCTCGTCCAAACCCTCAAGTCTGGGCAGTGGACCAAGCTCAAGACGGTGCTTTCGGCCAAGTGTGCTGCTCGGTCTGGCGCTGCTGGCGGTGCCACTGGGGATCCCGCGCGCGCTGCCGGCGAGGACTCGGCCGATGCCGCAGACAAGGCGGCCCCTAGCGATGGCGTCGATGCCGTTGAGATGGCGCCGCCCACAGATGAGCAGAAGTTGCGCCTCTTCCGCTTCCGCGAGGAAGGCGGCGTCGAGGCCTTCACGCTGGCCTTCGACGCCATGTGGTCCGAGGTGGCGGCCTAGCGTGCTCGGCATCAGGTTTGACCATGGCGTTAGATCGGAAAGCCCCGGCGTGCCATTGCGGCTACCTGGCTCGACGTCGCCACGGATACATGCGCTGGATGCGGGCGTCACTGAGTACTGCTCGAGCTCTGGCCCGCTCCTCGGGGAGTGCGAGCGCGGACCTGGCCCGCTCCTCGGGGGTCCCACTGAGCATCGCCCGAGCACTGGCCCGCT